CTCAGTATCTGCCCGGAGTCAGGAAGTTGGCGGTGTCTCACCCCCGTACCTCGGAAAGCACGTAAAGCCATTGCTCCTGCGCCTCTTCTCCTTTTGGTCGCGTTGGTTTACCGTCCCATTGGATTATGAGAGTAAGGGAATAGAGAGTGCACCTGTGCTTGCGCGTACACTTGGGCACTATAATCTTGTTCTGCGCCGATGGCTATTCTCCGTTGAGGCCGTTACCGAAATTCGGTCTGCAGAATATAACTATTATTATTACGTTTGCAAGAAGAAAATAGTTAATACGGAATATTCACTAGAAATGTGTCAGCAAAACGTGAAACGACTTTAGGAACGCAGTGAATCAAAGACGATGAAAAAAGCTTAATATCATTTACGTTTATTTTTGTTCGTGGTTTTCAATATTGCGTTTTTTGCCGAGTACTGAAGGCGCAACTAAAGTATGCATATAACATATAATAATATACCAAAAATATATTATTATATGTCCCACTCCTGGGTACAAGTCTCTACTCATTTCTGAAAGAGTTTTAAGACAAAGAAGTTGCACCTAAATGCGTGTGTGTGTACATCAAATCTCTTTGAAATATTTTTTTTATTTCTTAAACATGCAGGTTTCCTCACAATATTTTCCTTCACCGCTAATTCAGTGATAAATTAGTACTTAAAATTTCAGTTACCAATTTCCGACCGGCAGGGATCGAACCAGCCCCCCCGAACGGGTTCCCGCCTTGTCGTGGCGGGGGGGCTTAGTAGCCGTGGCTTGGTCTCCCACGGTGAACAAAGAGGAACCCACGTGGCTGGCCCGAGGTGAAGGGCCGGCCTGAGGTGGCCACTCCGAGTGGGCTTGGGGAGCCCACTTCGGATGTGTGCTGGTGGACTGCAGCGAGTGGGGACTCCGCACCCTCTACCGCTGCAGCCGAGGTGGAGTCGCGGAGGAAGTGGAGTGTTGGTATGTCGATGCGCCACTCGCCCTATCCTCCGCGACTCAAACGGGGCCGCACCGTTGATGCGGTGGTGATGGGGCTGCGGGGAGAGAGGATTGTCGGTATTGCGAGGCGCCGCTCTCCCTATCCTCCGCGGCCAAATCTTGGTTGGCGGCGGAGCCATAGACCAGATCCGCCGCTGGGGTCGGGAAGGCAGTACTACTCTTTTTCCTGGCCCCATGGCCTACGCGCATCGGACGCGGGGGCGTCTGTTGCGCAGATGTAATTGGAGGCCGTGGAGGAAGGCGTGCCATGTGTTCTGGTGCGCCTTACGTGGGAAGGAGAACGGGGAGGAATATTCCTCTCCCGAGGGGGTGCTGCCATGGGGCGGCAGTCGCTGGTAGGGCCGCGAAAGTGTGCGAAAGCGTTCCCGTAGCCCTGCCAATATGCGCCGAAGGTGGAACACCATGGGGTTTTAGTCGGTGCGAGTCCGACATAACCCGTCCTTGCCCCCGCGAGGCGGGTATGCGTAGGCATTTCCCCATGTTAATAAAAAAAAGGGATCGAACCAGAGTTGCTACCCTACTGTGAAATTTACAGCGAGCACTCAATTAAGCTACCAGATTATTAACTATTTTATAACTTTGACGCCTAACCAGTTCTGTCACTTTCGCACAGCGTCGAGGGAGACGAATCTTAAACAAATAACAACAACTCTTATCGAAATATTTTCTGGAGATCTCTAGAAACTAGTATAATTAAAACAATTGATGCTACGAACGCACCCTTACTATTCGTGATTTATACGCGCCGGCACCTGAGATCGCCTGACGTATGAGAAGAGATCCTGACGACAAATGACACCTATGATTATCATTTGAGAGCTGGATACTCAGTGAGCACAATTGTATGGATGTAGACTTCTTTGCATCGAAAATTTTTTCCGACCACAGTTGATCAATCCAAAATTGAAGAAAGTTATAAGTATATACGTCCTACTCCTGGGTACGGGCCTCCTCACATTCCTGAGAGAGTTTTAGGGCAAGGAAATGTCCGCCGCGCTGCCCATTGGGGCAGTGCGGCGAACTTCGTGGTATCGAAATTCACATGTCTTACGAAATATTTTTTTTTGTTATTTCTCAGACATGCAGGTTTCCCTACAATGTTTTCCTTCACCGTCGAATACGTGGTAAATGAGCACTTAAAATTGCAATTAACAGTTTCATTGGTGCCAGCGGGGATCGAACCCGAGTTGCTCGCGAACTGTGAAATTTGCAGCGAGCACTTATCCCCTAAGCTATCACGGCCCCAAAGTTGAATAGTTGACCAATATTATTTAATTAGTACGTTACCTATATAATCTGAATTTGATTGCCTAATTGGTCTAGTGGTCTTTAAGGCGGCTGCAGGTCATGAGGTCGCGGTTTTGAATTTCGGGGCAGGTCAAAAACTAGCCAATGAGTTTTCAAGAAATTCTTAGTAACCCAAGTGCCTCAGAAAACACGTTCGAGTCGGATTGCAGTTCCATCTGCAAATGCATTGTATAGAATAGACACTTAACGCCATTGTATTTAGTTTAATAAGTAAAGCAGTTATAGACAGATGTAATATGTTGTGTAATGCATCTTAATTCCCGTATCTCAAAGAAGTATCCTTTGACAAGTGCCTTGTTATTTGAACCCATTTTAACGTTACCAATCCGTAAACATAAGAATGCATGAATAAATATTACAGATTTTATAAAATATTCTGCTAATAAAATGTAAAAAAGCAAAAAATAAACCTAATCATCATCATCATCATCGCAGCCTATCAAAGTGCACTGCTGAACATTCCTCCACCAGAGATTGTCTCGTCAGGGCAAGTTTTTATTATCATGAATTGTTGTCAGGAGGATGCGCTGCCGATCTCCTCTGTCAATATCCCTCTGTCGCCGCTTACGACACCCAGGAGATGATATGGAATAGTAGATTCACTAACATAGACTAGATAGATACTATAACACATACATAATAGAACGGGGGAGTGGGCGGACCCCGCGTAGCCACTAAAATGCCACTAACACGTCAATTCACACGTATAAATGTCAACACGAGATGTTTTTGATGTTACAATCGTTTCCAATTTTCGCATGCAAATTATTTAGAAAATGCCAAATTGCACGCTATTTACAAACAAATATGTATTAAAATCCGTCTGTCAACACAGCAAAGCGGTTTTGTAGTAGTGATTAACTGATAATACGACGTAATTGCTTATATATGTATATGTGTGCTCCCGGCGACGCCTATCCTCGTACAAAATAAGGATGACAGCCATTCTATTGTGTATTATAGTATTCTATGTTCACTAACGTCGCCACTACACAACGATTAGCCAATAGTACTTGTAATAACTATTTTTTTGAATAAAATGTAAGTTACTATATTTTTACATGTATTTACTAAAACCAAACCTACGTGTTACTTTAAAAAACAAATGTATTTATATTTATATCTACCGCTTAGTATACTTTTACCTAATCTAAATTATAAAAAGAAGTAGGGGACATTTCCATACATTTTTGGCCCCAGGTGTTCACAAAATGAAATTAGGACCATTCAAAAGCTTATTTATAAACAATTGATGGCTGTAAATCTGGTAAGATTTGTTAATCTACGAACTGAGTTATCGTAGAACAATTAAAGTAAGGTTATGTTTACCTATAATGTAACAATTGATTTTTCACTATAGTAACTTAAATAAACAATTATATTTATAAATTCGCATACCTACTATAAGTGCATTACAGTTAAAACAATGGCCCATGATGTCAATAGGTAAACAGGGTCAGTCGTGTAGACAAGCTTCTCAGTGACTAATAAAGAAGCAAGGGTCAATAAAAAAGCAGGATCCGTATAAAATAATTAAAAAAAAGCTGTGGTTATCAAGGGAACGAAATGGTTGAACAATTATCTTCTATAATTATATTCTGTATTCTATAATTATAGATACAAGTTAAAAAGTTAAAACAACAACAAGTGACAAGTGTATTGAATATTAAATGTCGATCTAAGATCGATCAGTTAAATTGTTGCTGTTCCTTTTTTTGTTAGCATGGTGATGTTTTTATTTTTTTATTAGGTATTTTGGTGGCTTGATCGCAATTGCCTTCTATCGCCCTGAATTATCGAAAATGGAACATAAAATGCTCGATTTATTCTAAAAAAGACGTTTAGTAGTACGTAGCAATCAGAAACGAGAATTTCACTAGTGTATCAATATCTATTTTAATCTATTTATGAACATAAACACATTTATTTCTTTTTTCTTTATACGAATAATATATTTTATTTGCAATTAGGTTCAAATATTCAAATTCAAAGTAAATAACAGAATTTTAATGAAACCTTAGCTTTTTATTTTTATTTTATTTCTTTGGATATGAATAAATATTAAATTGATTGTATTAGTACAATCGATTTTCTAAATTATTTCTTATCTCTATGTTTTTTCGAATTATAGATTGTAAAACGAGCCAGTAATTAGTATTTTAATTCGTAAAAATAAAGCAGATTTTTAAAGTATAAAACTATTTGTTAAATTCAGGCTCAAAAACCCCATTCTTCTTTACGTAGGTCTTTATTAACTGTAATCCAATTAATAATACACACAGTTAATGCAATTTTAAGTTTACATAATCTATGGTTGTCATATTATCTATTTATCAAAACCGACAGACTAAAGTCACTGTTGTCATTTTAAGCATTATATTAAAACTTTTATAAAAGTTTATTTTATAATTTCTTTTACATGTATAACACAATTATCAATGGAAATACCATTCTCGTCATTTTCATAGTAATATGTCAAACGATGTCTTATTACCAGTTACCACTAAATGTTGGAACTGTTCTTTTTTCTCTAACTGACACAACAAGAACAAACTGGAACAAAGATGATTTGGCCCTATTGCAAGCCCGACGATATTTACAGAACGTTATTCCACGTACTGACCCAGGAGTAGCGGTTGACGAAGATTATATTAAAATGTTACTAAACTATTTCAAGGAAATTTATAAGACCATCAAAATGGAAAGTACCGACGATCAAGTTAACAATATTGTGACCACCGCCATGTCAGATACCTTAGGTGGGTTCTTAAAAGCCTGGATTTTGCCGATAACAAAGTTTGCTTTCTATGGTGGAACTGTATCAAAAGAGAGTGCTCTGAGAATGTTCAATTTCTACCACGACATTAAAAAATACCTTGATACTGACGGTAGTGGCTGGTGTGAACCAAATTTGGAAGTTCTCAAAACTGTCGCTATCAAAATTTCGCCTCCAAGAGTCTCATACGCAAGAAGTATGGAAGATCAGTGTGATTATTTAGCTTACTTTGAAAAAACTGACACTGGATTAAAAGTGCCGACACCAACTATAACTTGGAATGATAAATTTAGTACAATGTTCGTTCCACTAAAAAACCAATCGCTAATCTCTTTGAATTCACCAAATTCAACGAATGCCCTTTTTAAGTACTATGACGCAGCCAAAAGTTGTCTAAGTTCCACTAAGCCAGAAGATCAAGAAGAGTTTAATAGACGCTTTGAATCATGGCTCATTTTTAACGTATTACCGCATTTAAATGATGACAATCTGTATGTTGGCTTAGGCAATGTACTTAGCCTCGTTAATAAGACAAGTGATTTATGCGATAGATTAATCAATTTTTACGAAAAAAAAGAGAGAAAACCGACAACATCTTCAGATATCTGTGTAAATTTTGCCTCAAAAAAAGTGCTAATAGTCGCAATCATACTCTTTTTAGAAATATGTTGGTGTATTCCCGCCATGTTTTACGTAATGTGTTCAAAGAAAAAGAAAAGAAAACGTAAAGGAAAATATTTTAATGTTTGCGTATCTTATGATGAAAAATCTGTTAATGCTGGAAGTATGTTCAGTGGCAGCGTACCACGATCGAGAATTTACAACGAGGATTACGGAGTAAAGCTTTATCAAAAGCCTCGATCTCGAAATCTACAACATGATTTAAATCAGCATCAGACTCAAAACACTATGGCCGTTGATAGTGCAAGCGCGAAGATTAGAGGTAAAAAAAAAAAAAATTCTTCCTTAAATGAAATCCAATCAAACGTTGATAAATGTTTTAGGCTGCTACGAAAAGAGTCTTTCTGTTACGTCTGTGCATCTAATTCTGGCATAGAAACTATACCTACCAGGGCCCTCCCATCAGAAAGCCAGAACAAAATCGACAACTTAGCACCTACCAAAACCGTAACTTTATTTAAGAGGAATGATCAGAGCAAAAAATATTCTAAAGAACTTCCAACGATAGATGTTAATACAAAAAAACATCACAGGTATAAAAAAGAAATTGAGAATCGCGGTTACAAAAAAAGTAAAAAGATCATATCTATCCCGGCTCAGTCTCGGGAAACAAAAGCAAAATATACGTCCAATACCCAACCGAAGGACTCGAAGAATTCTGTTATTAAGGATTTAAAAAGTTGTACTAAAAATGAAAATCATAATGACGAAATTAATAAGCAGAAAAGCATCGATGAACATATTGCCTGCAAATATAATAGCTTTAAATCATATCAAATCGAAAAAGAATATTCAAAACAACAGAAATTGAAATTATCTAACAAAGGCGTCGAATCGAATGTCGAAAAGCCATACTTGGAATTAAAAATTGAACGACAAGAAAATGAAAGAATTCCAAGCTTACTTGATCTCAATGAAAATAAATATACTGTAACGACAATAAGTGAAACCACTTTTAAAAAATCATCACATTCAATCCATGAAACAAAAATAGAAATAAAAGAAAGATCGTTGAGCGAAATTGACGATGGAAATGGAATTCGGATGTCGAAAAATAGTGTTTTCGATGACAGTCATGTAGAAACTAGAAAGGCTAAAAGTTGTGGCAAATTAAATATAAGTATTTAACACAAAAGCTTTTTATTACAAAACTAGAGAAAAAGAAAATTAGATTTTTCCTACAAATCATTTGTCACTTTATCGCACAAAATTCTTGAAAAAGAAATGGAATATATTGATTTTAAATAAGTTATTCAATTAAGTAATATTTTCCTATTGTACACCACAACACATGCACATCTTGCTTAGACCATTCAAAATGGTCTAAGACATCGTTATCTTAATATACCTATATAAATTACGTGTCATGTTGTTTGTCCGCGATGGATTCCTAAACTACTTAACCGATTTTAATCAAACAAAGGTACAACTTAAGAGATAGGATAGGTTTTTTGCCAATGAGTAACCCACAATTTTTATTGCGAATTTAAAATTTTTATAAGCGCATGACAAAGGGTCGCCGAAAAGGGCAGAACAACGTTTACCTGGCAAGCTAGTACTATATAAATATGCAAATCAAAACGTGTAGTTTTTCAAAGCTTAATAAGTCTCTTTATATAAAAGTTTTCTCCACACTTCCACCGCACTTAGCGCTCCGCACTAATCACCCTGACGAATTTATTGGCCGCGATCCGGGTGAATTATACCCGTGCGGGGGCCCGCTTGAGTTATTGCATATTTTGCCCGGGCCAGCTCAGGTGGCCGCGGAGCAGCCCTAATCTGTCATTACGCCGGTCCATTCCCACTTAGCAAATTGAAAGCTCGGACTATGTCTGTTACTGTTTGGCAATAAATTTAAAATGATAGTTCTTTAACTGTACATAGTCTTACTGCCGCACTAAAAGATTATTTTGCTTATATTGTATATTTCCAAAAGATAATATTTTATCAAGCAAGTCCTAAGTGCGGCAATTGTAATGTTACTGCGACGATTTTTGTAGAAAAACTAAAGATAGACGGTCAGTGAAATAGATCAGTTGAACTGGTTAGTCAAAACGGATGTAAGCCAAAACAATTTCCTCACTCACTGGCTTCAAATTGCAACTTTTGATACAGATATCAACTTCATAATATATTAATGTAAAATAAAATAAAAATTAAAAAATATCAGTGCCATAGGCTTCTGTTCCGTTCACTTGCTTGTTAGGTAGGTACACCCTATTTTTTCCAGACAAAATCACTCAGTATAATATACAAATAATTATTATTTTAATATAATTAGGATTTCCTTCCTTCTTAATTTTTTAAATTATGAAGTTGAAAAAAGATCATGTTTTGTTTTTTTTTACGCCCGAAGCAAATATGGGCAAACCTCCGGAAAACGGGGGAGGGAGGTGGGGAATGCTCATAGCATACCACGCAGCCGGCTGCATGGTTATGTGGAGACTTTTACCCACTAAACCCCACCTTTTAGGGACTGGTTTAACGGTCTAACTAGAGATCTCTAAGCCGTATACGAACGCGACCCTCCTTGGCAGAAAGGAGGGCGTAAGCGGCGAAAAGCCGCTTAGACGAGTGCCTAACTAAGGCAGATTAAGGGATGTGTTATGTAGGCTCGGCCTGAGCCGCCAGGAGGCAGTTCAGGTCAGCCGAAAGCTTGTTGGGGGGGTCCGAGAGAGAGTTTTTCGGTCTGCGCACACTATAGCGAGTGTGGATAGGGGCTGCATAGGCAGCTGTCTCACGAATGAGATGATTTGGGTGGGACTCTGAGGCTTTGAAAAATCTCTCAGAGAGTGATTTAAGGAATTGCTGGATTGTTGGGAGCTCTAAGTCTCGGTGTAGGTCAGCATTACGGACATAATAGGGCGAGTTAGTGGCCCTACTGTCGTAGAATAGATTTTGAACTATTTGAAGTTCATTTATAGCTTTGGGCTTAGCATGTGCGAAAATGGGGGCCGCGTAGGTCATGACAGGTCGTATGCAGACCTTATATAGGGTTCGCTTGTTGCGGAGGGACATTTTACTGTGTCTGCCCAACATGCTGTTGAGCCTACCCATGTAAAATCGTGCGGTGCGAGTAACCTTCTTGATATGGGGTTCGAAAGTGAGCCTTACATCAAGGGTGACGCCTAAATATTTGGCTGTAGTTTGCCATGGGACAGGGGTTCCTAAGATCCTGATTGGCGGAGTGGTGGTGAGACGGCGTCGTTTATATTCGAAGCAAACGGCGGAGCTCTTCTCCGGGTTTACGTCGATACGCCATTTTTGGAACCAAGCTCCTAAGTCGCTTACTGACTTTTGGATCTTGTTCCGAATCTGTGGCAGTGAGTTGCTTTTAGAGTAAAGGGCTGTGTCATCTGCGAAGAGGGCTAGTTTAACACCATTCGACGGGATAGGGATGTCGTTGGTGAATAGTATATATAGGAGGGGGGCAAGCACAGAGCCTTGAGGGACACCGGCTTTGATTTGACGAGTAGAGGATAGAGTGTCTTCGTGTCTAAAGCGAAAGGTACGATCCTTCAGATAGGAGGCTACAAGGCGAACGAGACGGTCTGGGAGGCCTAAGTCGTACACTTTGTAGATAAGGCCCTCGTGCCAGACTCTTTCGAATGCCTTGGCAATGTCGAAGAAGACCGCGATGGTTTTTTGACGACGAGGATAAAAACCCCTATCAATTTTTTTTGTTCAAAAATTGATAGGGGCGTACTCCAATGGTTTGGGCACGTTGAACGAATGAGTGAAGACCGAATGGTGAAGAAAATATATAGAGCGAAAGTAAATATTAAAAGGTGTCGAGGTAGACCGAGACTAACTTTCGAAGACCATGTGAGCAAATTGCTCGAAGAGGGGAGGGTCAAGAGTACTCGGATACCTAGACGTGCATGTATGAAGAAGTTAATGAACCTGAAGGAAGCGAAAGAGGTATGTAAGGATCGTGACACTTGGCGATCTGTTCTCTCTGGCTACCCCGTTAGGGATTGTGCGTGAAGATAAGTAAGTAAGTAAGTAAGTAAGGATAAAAACCGCTGAGGATATATTCCACTATGCAGTGAACTTGCTGGGGGCACGAGTGTTTGACTCGAAACCCGAATTGTTGTGGGATGACAAGAGGGTCGCCGTCTGTGGAAAACAAATGGCGCCTCATGCGCACGAGAATGACTTGTTCGAAAAGTTTGCCCATGTCCTTGAGGAGGCTGATGGTACGGTGATTGGAGGGGAGGTGGTGAGGTTTTCCTGGCTTGGGAATGCCAATGACAGTTGCCACTTTCCAAGAGGTGGGAAAATAGCTGAATTCGAAGCAGGCGTTGAAGATTATGGCCAATAAGGCGATCGGTGCTTTTTTGGTCCTTTGATGGTAGATTAAATCTCATCTTTGGACACAGTGATATGGTCAGAGGCGGTAGGCGGCGAGTTCCGGCGACAGACCTTGTCCTCCACTAGTTGGATGTGTATGGGGTTAGTGGGTTGTGAGCTGGGAGAGCATTGAGCGGCGATGCTGTTGGCGAAGCACTCAGCCTTTTCTTCGTCCTCGAAGGCAATAGAGCCGTCGGGACGAGACAGAGGGGGGAGTATGCGTTATAGCGTCTATCCGGAGGGTCTCGCCATCTGGTAGTACGCTGTGTGGGAGGGAGAGATTTTCTCCATGAGATTGCCCCTTTCGAGGTCTCTGTAATCTTGCAGGCGGTAACGGAGTTTGCGTTGAAGGCGGTGGGCCACGAGTCTATATTCGGGAGTGGGATAGCGTCCAGCTCTACGGAGGGCAGCTTTTTTGGCTTTCAGCTAATATCTAGGGGAAGACTAGTTTTAGCAACCGGGACAACCTTTTCATTCTCTTTAAGAGAGGATGTTATAAGTGAGGTGAGATTTTCGACCGCGGTATCTATTTTCCCCGTACTGTCGAGGACGTCGGAAGAAAGGGTTATGGGAGGGTCCGGAGAGTCTATAGCCGAGGCTAGAGACTTCTTGAAGCCCTTCCAGTTGGTGTAGGTTTTGGAAGTGGGAGTTGGAGATGGCTGATGGCCAAGAAGGAGGGATACAGGACGGTGGTCGGATCCTAGATCATCGAGAGACTCGATTGCTCTAAGGTTAAGGGAGACTCCTTTAACTAGAGCAAAGTCTAGTACGTCAGGAGCGTAGTTAACATTGTCGGGATAGTGGGTGACAGCGAGGGGGCTGTAGACAGTCAGGTCGAGAGACTGAGTGATATTGAGCAGCACCCTGCCACTACTGGTAGTAGTGCGGCAGGTCCATTCAGTATGCTTGGAGTTAAAGTCTCCAAACATAATGACTGAACCGCCTAATGCAAGGATGGCTTCGAAATCACTCTTAATGGAGAGGGTTCCGCTAGGGATATAGCAAGAGGCTATAATGATTGACTGGTGTCCAGTCATGGCTAATCTAGTGATAGTGGCTTCCATACTGGTAAGCGTCGGAGTGGATATGTGGGAGCAATGAAGGGACTTTTTGTAATAAATGGCAGTACCGCCGCCTTTGCGGTCGGGTCTGTCATTACGCAGAAGTGAATAATTTTTAACAGAAAGGCCTTTAGAGACCTTGGGGCTGAGGTGGGTCTCCTGAAGGAGGAGGAGGTCGGCTTCGCGATCTCGAAAAAATAACCTAAGCTCTGGGAGGTTATTTCGCAAACCGCGGATATTGAATGAAACAAGCGACAAACCCTTTGGTTTGATACGACCATGCGATATTGCGGAAGTAAAGGGCTCCGGCATAGTGTTATTACAAAGACCTTAGTTGGTTGATGTGCTCAGTAAGAGCAAGGTGACGGTCCTGAGGGGACTGAGCGGTGCGCAGTTTACGCGCAAGGATAGAGATTTCCTCTACATTGATCTTATTCATAGTGTTACACACTAGGCTTAGATCTTCTACTACAGGCGGGTCGGCGGAGGGCCGCGGGATATTTGACGTCTTTGGGAACCAAGAGTTTATTGGAAGCGGCGCAGGCTGGGAGAGCGGAAGGCTCATAAGGGGCCGAGGAGATCCCTGAGGTGGCCGATGTGCTAAATAAAGGCTCTGATATTTAAGTACTATTTTACTTGTTACAATCCAGTGCATGACTTGAACGACATGACATGAAGAGTGAAGATAAAGTACTATATGGTAAATCGCACAGT